AGAGATGTGACAAAAAAAATACTAATAGCACAGCAATGGATTTGAGAAAGGGAAGAGAGAAAAAGGAGTTAAAGGTGGGAAGGGAGCATAGTCTGAGTGATTTAATAATGTTCAGTATTAAAGAAAATGGCTATAATGTCAGCTCTTTATGACAGTGTATTGTAGTAACTGCTCTCGTGATCTAAGATAAGTAATGGTGTACACTAAGGGCAAATAAGGGCAAATTTGGAGCAGTATGAATTGGTGACTCTGACATAACTTACTTTAACAGTCTATTGAACCACAATAGCTGACACCGAATTAATGAAAATGGTGGAAGAGTGTAGTGCCAATGTGACTAGAAGCAAGGAAATGTTTGGTGTGAAGTCTCATGGGGGAGCATGGTTGTGGCTCTTTACCACACAGTCTTCAAGCATCTGCTCTTCAGCATCAAGTGGTTTGAGCTGAGTCATAAAATACCAGCAAATTCACCTGCCAGCACAGCTAAACGGTTATTACATTTTCCCTTGGGAGAAGTGCCCTTCTCTAAGAGAGTTAGTGGCAGGATGAGAAGTGTGTTGTGTTCAGAGACAATTTGGAAGGCAGCAGTACTCACCTGAACCATTGGATTGTGGAATCCTTGAGGTTGGAAGGGACCATCTAGTCCATCAGGACTAGAATCACCTAGTGGATCCCCCAGCTCAAAGCAGGGTCAAGCAGAGGGGGTTCCCTGGGACCGTGTACAATTAGGTTTTGATTATCTCCAAGGGTGGAGACTCAAAACCTCTCTGTGCAAACTGTTCAAGTGTTTGGCCACTTGCATAGTAAAAAAACCTCAACTTTCTTGAGTGTTCAGATGGAATTTCATATGTTTCAGTTTGTGCCCATTGCCTCTTGTCCTGTGACTGGGCACCACTGAGGAGAGCCCGGCTCCATCTTCTTTTTTCTCTCCCATCAGATATTTATAGAAATCTGTAAGATACCTTCTGAGCCATCTGTTCTCCAGGCTAAACACTCCCAGCTCTCTAAGCCTCTTGTTGTATGACAAATGCTCTAGTCCCTTGATCTTTGTAGCCCTTTTCTGAAGGTACACCAGTATGTCCATGTCTCTTTTGTACTGTGGAGCCCAGAACTGGAGCCAGCACTCCAGATGCATCTCAGCAGAGCTGAGCAGAGGGGAACGATCACTTCCTCCATCTGCTGGTGATACTTTTCCTAATGCAGCCCAGGATGCTATTGGCTGTCTTTGCTGTGCAGGTGAGTTGCTGTTGAGTGGGCAACTTGCCCAGCATGTGGCCCTCAGGTCCTTCTCTGTGGAGCTGCTTTCCAGCCCACTGGCCCCAGCGTGTATTGGTGCCTGGGTTTATTCCTCCCTAAGGGCAGGACTTTGCATTTCCCTTTGCTGAAAGTCATGAGTTTCCTGTCAGCCCATTTTTCCAACCCATCCAGGTCCCTCTGAATGGCAGCAGAACCCTCTAGTGTGTCAGCTGCTCCTTCCGGTGTTGCTTCATCTGCAAAACTGCTGAGGGTGAACTGTGCCACATCATCCAGATTGTCAAAGAAGATGTTAAACAGTATTTGGTACAATATTGACCCCTGGGGCACACTGCAACCTCCAGCTGGACTTCGTGGCAGTGATCACAACCCTTGGGCCCAGCTGTTCAGCTGCTTTCCAGTCCACCTCACTGTCCTCTTAACCTAAACCGTATTTGGTCAGCTTGTCTATGAGGTTGTTATGAGAGATGGTATAAAAGCCTTACTAAAGTTGAGGCAAACGACATCCACTGCTCTCCCATCGTCCACCGAGCCAGTCATCTCATTGTAGAACATTATCAACTTGGTTAAGCATAATTTCCCCTTCATAAATCCATGCCAACTACTGCCAGTCACCTTGTCCTTCATGGCTTTGGCAAGCGCTCCCAGGATTAGTTGCTCCCCTCCCCAGGGACTGGGATGAGGCTGCCCAGACTATAATTCCCCAGATCCTCCTTCTCTTAAAGACAGGAGTGACATTTGCTCTCTTCTAGTCCTCAGGAACCTCTCCCATTCACCACAATCTTTCAAAGACAATGGAGGACGGACTTGTAATGGCATGGTCCGGCTTCTTCGGCACAGTGCATACATCACAAGTCGTTCCATGGACTTGTGTATGTCCAGTTTGTTTAAGTGCTTCCTAAACTGATCCTGCTTCACCCAGGCTAAGTCCTACTTGCTCCAGACTTCCTCTGGTCTCAAAGGCCTAACGTTCCTGAAGGCTGGTTTTGCCAGTAAAGATGGAGGCAAAGAAAACATTGAGCCCCTCAGCCTTTTCCATGTGCTTTTTCACCTAGTGTACCTGTAGAAACTTTTCTTCTTGCCCTTCACGTTCCTCACCAGACTGAGCTCCAGGTGGGCTTTGGCTTTCCTAATCTCATCCTTGCATGATCAGACCATGTCACTACATTCCTCCTAGGTGACCTCTTCCTGCGTCCATTTTTCATATACTTCCTGCTCATATCTGAGTTTAGTCAGGAGCAACATGGTCATCCATGGAGGCCTCCTGCTGCCTTCGTTTGATTTCTGTGTGTCAGGATAAACTACGCCTGATCTTGAAGGAGGTGATCTTTGAAAATCAAACAGCTGTCCTGGACTCATCTTCTCTCCAGGGCCATAACCTGTGGGGTTCTTCCAAGCAGAACTCTGAATAAATTTAAGTCTGCTCTGCTAAATTGTGTCACACTTTTTGCTGTTCTCCCTCCTCTCAAGATACTGAACTCCACCATCTCATGATCACTGCAGTGAAGGCCTTCACATGCCCACGCATTTCTGTTGGCATTGTAAGTATGAAGACAGCCATGCACCTCCTTGTTGGCTCCTCAGTCACCCATGTCAGGAAGTTGTTGTCAATGCAATGAAAGAACCTGCTCTGTTCTGAAGCCTTAGTTTGACCTGTTCGTATCCTTCAGTCTAAAGAAGATTCCTTTTAATCTAAAACTTACTATTCTTGGAAAAGATGACTTCACACTAGTAAGTTTGATCAAAAGCAAACCATCTAAAAGCTTTGTCTGCTTTAAGATTGTTGAAATTCTTGAGCTAAGTGCCCACATCGTTTTCCATTAAGTTCATAGCCAAATAGTTCATTAGCTGAAAAGACAAACAGAAAACCAGATTGTATCAAATAAAATATTAGGCATTAACCTCGATTTTCTACTTATCTCAATAACTTTTATGTCCCAAATACTTTCTTCGGTAGTGCAGGTTGAAGATGCAATTATCTTTGGTTTCATGCTTCTGGATCCATTGAGATCTCATGACATCTGCAGAAGGCTGGAGCTAAAAAAGGGCACTGCAGGATTGCCCCGGGGATTGGGTGAAAGGAAGAGAGCATTAGCTCTTCCTGATTGTCCATAAACTATGTGGAAAGAATCTGAATGTCATTTCCTATAGCAAACTGGTCGGAGAGCAACCTTCAGCAGTACTACCGCAGTACTTGCTTTCAGAGCTACCTGTAGTCTCAATCATTTCCCACTGATTCAGTCTTGTTTTAAAAGTTAATCTGGTGGAAAAGTTAGATTTCCACATTAAAAAAAAAAAAAAAAAAGTTGAACTTGCACAGGACAAATATTTTGCCATGTGAGGTCTCCTGGTTAATCAGGCTCATCCCCACACCAATACTTGTGCAGCATGCACAGCCTTCAGGATTCAGGGCCCTAGAGTAAAGAGGCAAGGGATTTCAAGGGGTGGGTATGGTAGTGCTAGGAGGTAAGACCATAATGAGATTACTTGGCATGGGAGATCCTCACTTCAGCTGTTTTGGAAATAAAGCACAGTGAAGAACTTCCTGTTCTCCTCTGTGCTGTGCCACTTCTCAGTCACTTTGAAAAATCTTTATATGCTGATGGCGTCTTCTATCAGCTTCTGTCTTTTTCAGGGACTCTTTTTTAAGCCTGTGATTCTTTTAATACCTTTCTCTTCCTCAACTTGTTTTGCATTGATTTTCTTTTCTTTGTGATTTCTCCACCCCATTTTATCCTGCTTTCTGTTCTCCTTACATCAGCTGAAGGTTTGTAAGTCCTTCCCACAAAGGATGCAATTCTTTGGAAGAAAAAAACGATGTGATTTTCACTTCCCTGGCCTTAGCTATTGTTACGATCACCATCATGGCTTGCATTTCTAATGTATATGCAACCATAATGCTACAGGTGTTGTCTTGGGGTATGTGGGCATCTGGAAAGTGTGATAACTTTTCTGTCTCATTGCTTCTGCAACAAAAACAGGAACAGGTTGCCCAGAGAGGTGGTAGAAGGATGGGGGTCCCTGGAAATATTCAAGGTCAGGTTGGATGGGTCTCTGAACAACCTGATCTAGCTAAAGATGTCCCTGCTCACTGCAGGGGGGTTGGACTAGATGGCCTTTAAAGGTCTCTTCCATCCCAAACTATTTTATGATACTATGAAAAAGCAAAACTCCACCTATAGACCGTGTTGCTGGTCCAAATCTGGGTGAACTGCCACAAAATTTTTCTTGTCATCTGGAATTATAGATGGCAGTGTCCTGGATGCAAATTTGCCTCAGTGGTTTTGTGGAAGGAAGGAAACATGTAATAGAGGAAGGATGAGTCCAAGACTGTCCTCTTTCTGGTACTACCTGTCCCCTAAACCCCAAGGCCACATGTGTCTGAAACGATACAGGACTCCTTTTTTGGTTTCCACAGTCTCAACTAGGCTGCAGTGGATACAATTGCTTTCAGAGACAGCTCAGAGCAGTCAGAGAAGGTTTTTCTTCTTGCAATTGCTAGTTCCCTCTGAGGAGTTGTGGGCATAACCAGGGTTGTCTGTTTAGAAGCTAGGAAGTGCATTAAGTATATTGTATTGTGTGCTTAGCCTGAATCATGGACACCTTGTAGCACTTAAGCAAATAAAGGTATTTGCTTTAAATGCAAAATTTATTCATTAATTAAATAGTAAAATACCAGCTATTAGTACCCCAAAATGAAACATGTAACTAGAAAGGCATATGATACAAAAATAATCAGTTACAACAAATAATTTACAAATTCCAAACAAAGGCTGAATGAGTAGATTTCCTAAGTCAGCTAATGTGACAAAACCACAAATGAGGACTTTCAGCTGAAACTCCTTATGAGTCACAAGACATTTAAGATTAATAACAGCACGATGCTTCATTTATCTTGCAGCATAAGAAACTCTTACTGCCAGTGAAGTTGACTTTTATGAGATATAGCCTGATCGTTTCTATCTCTACAGAAATTCATTCTACTTTGAAATACTGAGCACCTTCATATCTCTCCCCCCCAACTCCACTGAAACACACGAATGGTCAGTGCTTCTCCTGGGCAGTTTCACCCTAAGTTTCCCTGCTTCACAGATGCAGAATGTTACCCACTGTCTGTCTCAGATATTCTGACAGGCATTACTCTTTCTGGGGTCCTCTGGCAGTCTGTATCCTGTTGGTAACTGTTTTCTTGTGTGGATGGATGAGAATTAGACTCTGCTCCAGGGTTTGAGTCTTGATCAGCTGTTTGCTGCTGCTGTAGCTGCCTCACAGATAATTCATATGGTGGTGGCTGTTCCTGCTCGTTAGTGTCACTGATGAACTCTGTACTGGTTTTGCTATATGGAGGCAGAGGGATATTGATGACTTCTTGCTCTTTCAGTATGGAGGCAACTGGCAGCGGGAAGGTCTGTTTTTCAGGATCTGTGCTGTCTTCGTAGGAGGGGGGATAGAAGTCAGGCCTGAAAAAAAACAAACCAAAAAGAAACACATCACGGTAAAATGTGATTTGTCTCGGAGAGCTTCATTAGGTGCTTTCTCTGTTATGTTTCCAAAGTTTAGATGGGACTTAAACTGTAAATGGAGACCTAAGTAGGTTTAGATCAACAGAATATATTAATATAAAACAGCTGGCATAGCTGGGATCATTACCTGTCTTTCTGCAAAACGTTTTATTAAAACAGAGCATTCTAAAAAGATGAGCCTTCCCCATGAGAGTTCCCTCCCATGGCTTACAAACACTCATGCTTGTGAGTATTTCAACAAGTGCCCAAGAAAAGTTTGATGTGGAAGAAGAAAGAGATCATTGTCTCAAGTAGTCTCAAATTAGTGAGTTATTTATTATTACAATAATTATTGTTTCCCACAGTTTTAAAATACATTTTGCATGTTTCTGCTTATCTAACCAAAATTTACTGAATGTTGTTTTTATAGTGCTTTTAGAGCACCCATTGTCGGTGTTTCTGGTGTGGTTACCACAGCAGTCTGGGAAAAGTAATTTGTACCCAGTGACCCTGTTAAAGGCTTTTGTCAGGCTTAGCGCCAATCAGTTTAAGAAACTCTCTCAAAACATCAGACTTTGCTCAGAAATAGCGGGGACAGTTACAGAAGAAAACTTCATCAGGGATCATATCAGGAGCTGAAGCTCCCTGCATACCTCATTGGTAAAGAGTAATATGAGGACATGTCCCACGGCAGCACATCTGGAACGTTCTGTTGAGATGGAACTAATGATGCTGCTGCAGGAGCTCCATGAAATTGGTGTAGCTGCACCTGCTCCCTCCATGCATGGCTTTAGACTACTCTGTGCAACCTGCCACGTTTCCTGTGGTATACCTTACCTTACGTATTTTTTGCACAAATTGATGTTTGCACATTGCTGCTTGTTCTAGCAAATCAAATTTCAGACCACGGTCCTCTCCACAGGCATACAATAAAATGGCAACATATTTTTTACTTTGTAAAAACCTTATATTGGTTCTTTCTTCTCACAGTATGTTTACAAAGCAACATCCCTCCCTCCCAGTTCATCAGCTGCAGTCTGCAGCACATACCTGTCTATGGTGCTGACACGTAGCTCTCTATGTCTGGGATTTCGCATGAAGATGCTGCTGCGGCCCCTGTATTTCAAGACTTCGTGAAAAGTGCTCCAGAAAATGCCAGTCACAAGGAGAAAGAACCCTAAAGCTAATAGGCAGTAAAATACCAGCTCGTTATTTCCACATCTGCATGTGGAGGAACTTGTGGAAATGCAAAGGACTCCTAGACAAATAGTGGAGAAACTGAGTAAGAGCAAAAAAATATGAATGAAGGTAAAACCCCCTTTTGGCATCTTTCCCATCAGACACAACACTTGATTCCTGTGTGCTGTTTGTTTGATGGCTGTCTCAGCTATGCTTCTCATCTTCATGCATTGGTATTTTATACACTTCAGGATCAACTGGCCTTTGGACATTAAGAGAAACAGGTGGTTTCAAGATACTTATTAACTCTTTGATATTCTCATAATCTCTTTTGAGATTAATTTGTAATCTTAAATCTACTTGAAGAAAGGAAACAGAAACTCCCTGCACCATTCCTTTGCCACTGCAGTCTCCACAGTGCATACTGAACTGCTGCATTTGTTTCACACTACAATTTGCAATGGTTTACACGCCTTGTTAGTTTATGAATGAGACCTGTATTCATTTGTCTTACAAAAACCGCTGAACAATAAAAACACTGTTCATAAGTCCCTGCTAAATTTGGGGAGGGAAAATATATTTATTTCTTAATCATGCATTTTCACATCTTTCATTGGATTTTGGTCTTCTTCTGTCTTTAACTCACCATTCAACTGCCTTGACTTTTTTAATAGTCCTTTGAAAAAGGATAAATTTCTAGCTTGCAATGTGATATATCAATGAATTTTGTATACAAATTGAATGAAATAAAAATTGATTAATGTCAAAAAAGGACATAGGCGTACAAGAAATCTCTTTCTTTGTCTGCAGGTTCACTTGTACTCTGATTCCTTTACCATTATTCTCTTCTCTCTTCCAGCAATTTTTATTGACTGATTTTCAAAAGGATCAGTGCTCAAAGCTGTGTGGGAACACCTATACTTAGTTCTCCAAATATACTTGGACGTCTGAAATTCACATATGCTTGCTACCTTTTTTAGGTAGCAAGATTTTAGGCCTAAATTTTTCTACCTCTGATGCAAAAAATAATCTTCAGAATTGTTTGGTGGATTTTCCCTTGGAGATCTTACCCACTAGTTTTTGACATGGCACAGCAAACTCCGCAATCAGAACTTGACTTGTCTCGTAATGCTACCTTATTTGGAACATTACTAATTATGTTTCTGAATATTTTCAGCAGTGGAGTAATTAACCAGACCTTGCCTAGGTTTGTTTTAAACTCTTCGTTGCACACAGTGAGCAAATCAGAACAGGGGACCATTCAAAATATAGGCTCAGGCTCGTCTCTTTATTACAATGGTGAGTATATTGCAGCCTTATGTTTTCATATGATGTAGCTGGGGAAGCAGGTAATAATCATGTGCTTATCTCTGTGGTTTGGGCTACCTCCTCACAGAAAACCTGCTAATAGGTTTGGGAAATACGTTGTCTTTCCTGCTCATGGATGAACAGAAATTAAAATTGTTCAGCTAAGCTTCCCCTTGGGAGCTCGTGGCTTGTTCAGTACCACTGCTACGGGTTTCCAGTCGTGCAGTTCAGCTCAAGAGGTGGCTGGCAAATTTTGGATAGCTGTAGCAACCTGATTCTCAGTGCTGCATGCCCCTCATCTGCATGACCCTGAAAGGTCAAAACAAGCTCCTGTTTCCTCTCCAGCAATGTGCTTTTTCTCATCCAGCTGTCATAGATCCAGGATTGTGTAACAGCGCTTGTCAGGACCCCTGCTCCTGCTTCTAGCAAGCTAGATCTCTCAGTGGCATCTGCATGGCGGAGGCAGAACCCACACCCCTCGGGAGGACGCAGGCTTGCAGTGTGACTGCAAGATGCAATGGACAGAGGACTGCTTAACACTGCATGAAAGCAATGAAAGCTGTGGATGGAGGGGTCACCAGGGAATGAGGGCTTAGTCTGCTGTGGTGCTGTGGGAGAAGGAGAAATAAAGGAGCTGCTTTTATGGGGAAGATACATATCTGCCAGTGGTTTCACATTTGCTGATTTTCCTAATTTTGCAAGCTGCATAAATTAGGTGCTTTCTGCAAGAGGTCAGTTAAGTCTATGACAACAGACTATGGTATCTTATCCTTGAAAATAGCACTTGATCTCAAATTACTGCATCTCACATAATAGGTGTATAAAGAAATAGCCCTATATTGCAGTTTAATTTTCAAGGTTCTGTTATTTTTCCTATTTTCCATCACTTAATGTTTTCTGTAATGTTGTTCTTGGCTGTTTGCAACTTCCACAGCGTTTTGCAGCTCGGCTGTTTTGTTGGCAGTGAGTGTCTTGGACTGCATCAGACTGGATGAGCAGATTTCCTATCTCTCTTACAAAACAGGAAGGCAGTTGCTTCTAATGAGGATCAGGTGGGAAAAGGGAATAGCTGACATGGTGTAAACGTTGTTGAGTAGAACTGGCTGCAGACCAAGGTCAAAAGTTAGCAGTCCAGACGCACAAAAAGCACTCCTTAGGAAGTCTGACTGAAGATGGACTTAATGGATGTTCCACTGGATGACTTTGACGACTGCGATTGTTTTGCAATTTGCATTTCACTTGGGAAGGTCACTGCTTACCCTGTGTCCTGTTGAAACCTGTAAGGCAGTTTTCTCACAAACCAGTTGCTAGAATTATATTACTCAAAAAGAAATTTGTGATATCATAAACATTTTTATTAAAACTGTGAAACACAGTCTTATTTTTAAAAATACTAATAAAATGGAAAACATTAAAATCATAAAATTAAAAACCTGACATTTTAATGAAAATATGTAGGATGTGGCTGTACAAGCTGCATGTCATATGTACATGATGCAAGATAATATATTACCGGTCAAATATGCTACTGCTACTAAAAAGTGATATTTAACCAGAAAGTTCAAGAAGATCTGTATTGCTCTAGTCTGAAATGTATTATTTTTAATGAAATTAAAACCAAGACTTTAATCCAGTTTTGTTTTCCTCTTTTCTCACCTTCTAGCCCCCTTAGCTGACATGATTTATTGGTAATAAAGGACTCAAAGGGTGTTGTACATTGTTGTCAATAATTCAGTGCAGTTTTATCGATAGGCCCCTCTTTAGCAACTGTAGTATTCATTAAAAATTTGCATTTGAGAGCATGGGAAATTATTTTCAGCTCTGCAGTCATAGTCTCTTCTCCATATCATACCTGAATTAATTACAATGATATTCAGAGCATAGGAGAGTTTAAGTGTCAATGGGAGTGGAAGCAATATGAACATCAAAATCATATTTTGCAGACCAGTTCCCAACCTGTGAATTTGAGGTTTGAACCTTTGCAAACGAAGATGTGTGAACACAGCCAGGGCTACTCTTTGTCTTTGAAGACATTGTGATGTCACGAGATCTAGCCGCTATCTGTGAATGAATGATCAAACTGCATAAGGGAAACTGAGTTCAATTTATTCTACAAATACTTGAAAGGATCAGGAATGAAATAGTTTGATTGAAAATAGTCAGCTACAGGATTTTTATTCTGAGATTTCCCAAAACGATTGAGAACAGACTACCCTAGAAGTGGCAAGAACGAACAAGCAATAAATACTAATACTTAAAACAAAGAGAAGTTTTAAAATCATGGAGAAAATCTTGAGTTTTAACGAGTAATATTTCAACAAATATTTGAATTTGCTTTTTGGTAACTCACACATTCATATTTTCCAGACATTCTTTCAAAATTTTCTTGTTTTATTTATTTAGTAAAAGAATGAAATAAGTAATTGTGATAACATTTTAATAGTTCAGAGTGATGTTGTGAACTGGCTAGTCAGAAAAAAATCACACACACTATGGGACAGTTCCCTAATGAATGTGGAATTACCTTTGGCCTGTCAGCTGTTTATAAATCTATCAGAACTTGTATATTTAAAAAAAAAAAATAATTGAAATGAACATGAGGGATTCTCAGCAGATGCCATGGCTTCCCTTTTAATTGCTTTCAGTCAAAACCAGAATGCTAACTCCCTGTGTCAAAAAAGGTATCAGTAGACCTTCTTCTTCTTCTTCTGTCTGCAAGAAGTTATAAAGGAAGGCTCTACCCTTGAAAGTATAGGCATGCTTTATTTGTCTCATACTCACATCTTCAAAAATATCACATCTTACATGAAAAGGCCTGGGGAATCTATGAACAGCATGTAGAATTAAGGGTTAAAAATTGTCACATGTGCAGTGAAATAGAAAGTTTTTAAAACGCAAAAAAAAAAAAAGTCACCAAACAAAAGGCTTCGCTATCTATTTACCTATGCATCAGAATTAGAGCCATAGGTAAAACAGGGACTATCTGACTGTGCGGTATGAATTACAGGGTACATAGGGCCGTCATTTCCTGTCAACCATTTGCTACACAGTGGTGCCTCAAGGACACCTACATGTCTTCTGAGTAGGAAACAATTTTACATCACCACATAGCAAACACGGATAACTTTGACCCCCCTGAACCAGAATCCTCTGTACAGGAGACAAGTTCCCTTTTGTTTATGCATTGAAAGCGTAATCGTGTGCTTACTGAAGTGTTCATCTTACAGAAAGTTTTGTAATTCACCATCAGACACATAAGGATTTTGGCAGACTTCTATTCATAACATAGTACACAATAAGTAACCAGCTAGTTGGAAAGCAGTGCTATCATATGTAATTAGCTGACTGTATTGCATAATGACAGCACAAAACGTCTTGGGAAAAAAATTGCTTAGGGAGAAAGTGTAAAAGTAATTATTTTTCATTCAAATTCTATATGTCATTTTTTAAAAAAAAATATTTTTTTTTCCTTTTACTGGCCCTATGTGCTTCCTTCATAAAGAAGACAATTGTCCTAAGCTTGAGCTTCTTTGATTTTTTAATTGAGATTTAAGGGTAAAATACATTTCTGTGCAAGGAATCAAAGCAAGACATATGCCTTCTATAGATACTTTCAAACACAACTCAGATAAGCATGCAAACATATGACATATGACATTGCCTATATGAACCATGCTGCCCTCCTCTAGGAAAGGTGAGGACTACTCTGGGCACTTGTTTAGTCCATCTTTAGTTTTAAGGTGGGAAAAGCACTGAAGAACAGTCCTCTTGGCACCGATGGCTATTTGCCATTGGCAGCAGGAGCAAAGTCAGGTCTTCAGGCTTGGCTGCAAGACTTGGT